CTCTCTCTCCCTTGAGCTACATTATGGGAAAATCCACAGACCTCCATGTGCCTTGATGCTCATGGTAAGTCTTGGAAATCTGCTGACAGGGGTCACTTGCTCTCTGTCACCTGCATAGGCATGTGGGATAGCTTGAGAGGGCATATCACATTCCTGCCTGATGCTCAGTGGCAGGTTTACAGACAGTTGTATATCATCAATTCTCTAATCATTCCTGAGAGACCAATGCCTTTCTGTAAAAAGCCTGATTTACATGGTGTGACTGCAAATTAACAAGATGGATTTTGTCCTGGCTTGTTGAAATCATTCTTGAGAGACAGTGTTAGAAACAAAATTTAGCAAATGGTCTGTGGTCTATTTACTTCCAGATATTAATCTATGCCTATGGTGCTGGAAGGTTCTTTTCCTCATGAAAAACTTTCATTCTTGTGAATTTATTCTATTCATGTGGAGTCAACCCTAGAAGACTTTTATTGCCTTTTCGTTTGAAGGAAATAAAATTAAAAAAAAAGAAAGGTTGAAAAGACATTGGCAACTCACTGTGTGGCCCAGTTCATAGAAAAGAAGACAAATGATCTTTTCTGATTCTTTAAGCATACACAAAGCTCTACTAAAATAGAACTTTACAGTGGAGGAGGTAGCTATTAACTGGGGAGGCTCATGATCAAAGCTTCTTTGGTTAACCCTGCCCATCCCATAGTGCATTAGCATGACATGCAGGGTTGCTTTGTTATCTAGTTAATCAGTGGTAACTTTCCTCTCATGCACTCTGACTTTCAGTCAAAGATAACTCCATGACTTCAAAGAATGCAAACTGGTGTTCTCCTTAGGAATAGTGAGCAGAGCAGTAAAGCAGGAACTATTTTTCAGTTGCTTGTTAATTGCCTGTTTCATTATATGCTATAATACGTTATTCAGAAAACTTTCCTGAAATATGACCATGAATAAATACTATAATTCTTTACCACCATCCTAGCATTTCTAGAAAATTATATGGTAAGCAGAAAAAAGAAAAAGAGGTGGCAGATAGCATATTTGCCTTCATCCTCAATTTTCCTGGCTGCTCACTTCCAATTGCCACGAACCTAAAACTGTTTTTAAAAATCCTGTTCACTGGTTGCATTGGATGTGATGGGAGAGATGGTTGTGACAGACAGAGTCATACACTTTTGGAGGCCCCTAAGGCTTCTTCGATGGGAAAGGGGAGTTAATGCCCAGGAAGGGAACTTTGCCATTACCATAGGAATTGATTTGGGTTACCAAGCTGGGTCACAGAGATTTGTTCTGAATGCATATTTAATGATGTGACTTAAAATTCAGGGAAAAGATCAGATCCTTCCTTTTGGCCAGCTCAGTTCCTATGGAAGTACGATCTTCCATGTCATGGTATGATTTCCAACTATCTTCTCCAGAATTAAGTCTTTTAGCATGAGCCGTTTGGAGACTTCTTATCCATCAGAGGGGCCTGTGAACCATGGAAATCTTTTCCAACCAAAGCGCTGGAGGTCCCCACTTTTATGTGATATCAGAGTGAGAACCAAGGGATTACTGGATTGCAGTAACAACTCAAGTGTTTGAAACTGAAGAGGAGTTATCAGTTTTTAAAATGTGTTGCAAGTTTGGGAAGGCATAGGGAAAATATGGATGTGTTAACTGGAAGAGGGAATGATAAACAGTTGTAAAAGCCTTCAATCTAGAACAGCACATCCACCAAGTCCATAAGCCACCAAATAATAAACAGCACACTTACTTTCAGCATATGGGAGGCGTATTTCACACTGCTTGTTACACAGAGTAAATGGAGAAAGAAAACTCTGGGAATCGGATGGAGGCTTGTGCTCCTGACTTGGGATCCTGTTTAGAATGCTAATTGTCTTCCCATTTTATGTCCATGAAACAACATGAGTTTTATAAAATTACTAAGTTTATGAGAGGATTAAGCAGGTTTTACTTTTATAGCCATAACGTGTTCAAGCACATTTGCATCAAATGGTAGATATAATTTCTCTTTGTAATTGAAATTTAAATCCTGGCATAAATATAGTGCTGAGAAAACTATTTTATGAGCCTTTCTTTTATAAAGATCTTGTATGGGAAGAAGGCTACACAGCTGGAGATGGTTTAGAGACAATTAAGACTTATTGGCTTTCAGCTGGTGATAAAAGTAGGCCGTGGAGGAGGTGTGTAGAATCTTGGAACTGTTACTAAGGTGAGTATGCTCTATCAGTCTAGTGTGTGTGTGGAGGGGGCAATGTTTAAATTATTTAGGCACAGGACTTAAAGGATGATCTATTGGAGTTTAATCTCAAGATGAAGGCCAAGTGTATATGTGTGTTTAGTGGAAAGAGGGAATAACAAACAGTTATAAAAGCCTTCCATCTGGAACAGCAGATCCATCCAGTCCATAAGCTACCAAACAGTAAACACCATACTTAACTTTATTCTATGATTCACAAGGATGGAGTCTGAGACCCTCACTGTCTTCTCCAGAACCATTACTCATGTCTTGTGCTGAGGAAACAATGGTGGTGCAGGGGATAGGTTTTAGGGCTTCCTCCTTCCTGTTTCTGTTAGCTCTTCTGAACTGTTGCTCCACTCCTTTTAGGTGTGTGTGTGTGTGTGTGTGTGTTTTTGTGTGTGTGTGTGTGTGTGTGCAGATGTGCATGCACATTTGGGTATGTACATGTGGAGGCCAGCTGTTAATGTTGCTGTCTTTCTTAATTGTACTCCAGTTTATGCTTTTGAGACAGGGGCTATCATTGAACCTAGAGATTAGATTACAGATGTAGCCAGAATGCTTCAGAGATCCTCACGTCTCTTTCTCCCAGTGCCGGTCTTACAAGCACTCACTGCACTACTTAGTCTTTTATGTAAATTCTAGGAGATTGAACTCAGTCAGGTCTTCTTGCCTGTGCATCTAACACTTGACCAAATTGAGCTATCTCTGCAACCACTCTGAGATAGTTAATCTTGGTTTTCAACCTGATTAGATTAGTGTGAATTAAGAGACGTGCTTCTAGCTTGGTCTTGAAGGATAATTCCTGGAAGGATTCGCTGAAGGGACAGCACCCTCAGGAGTAGTCCATAATAAGGAGGTCCAAGGGAGAAGCTGTTGTCCTTTTCCTTAGCCTACCTTTTCTTCTGGTTGGGGATCACATCTTCTATGCTTCGACATCCTTCACTGACATTAGAGAAAGCTTCTCTGGCTTTTCCACATGGACTGAAGAACCTTGGCTCCTAAGCATCCTTTAAACCTCCATTTCCAGCTTTGGGACTGCTGAGATTCCCAGCCTTCCAGACCGAGGATCTCCAGGGTTTGCAGTCTCTCCAGGATGTGGATGGCCACTGTTGGAAACTAATTGTGTAAGCTAATCTAATAAATCACCTTCATAATACATATTCACCCCGTCAATTCCTTTTCTTAAGAGAATCTTGACTAATATACTGTATCCCTTTAGATTTTAATATCTACCTCTTTTGATTTTTTTGTCAGACTAGATAAGACTGTATAATTCAATAAACTAATAAGTGATAGAATTTATCACAGCTAGTAACATTCATGGGGATGACCCTTAACAATGATGATGTTTCCAAAGCTGTTGGAAAGTATTTTTCTTTGAAGGGATTTTCCTAGTAACTCACAGGTTAGACCATACAGGGGATAGTTACCATAAAGGTAACTAAGAGCCCGCCAAGGAGCTCATGTGCTGGTATGGCTGCTAAGACTTAAAAGGTGACTGTAAGGATTCGGGAACTCTGGGGAGGTGGCAGAAATGTTTGGAGGAGAGCATAGTTGGAGGAAGCGGTAGTTGGAGGCTTGCTCTGAGGAGCTTTGTCTTGCATCAGGCCCCCCCCCCCTCTGCTTTTCGCTGCTTCCTGTCCATGGAAGGCTAATAACTGTATTCCATGTCCTGCTTCCCATCTTTATGGTCAGCCTGACAGTGGCTCCAGACCCACTGTGAAACTGAGAGTCAAACCAAGTCCTTTAACAAAATGGTCTACTCCTCATTTTAAAATTGTTTTTAGGTTTTATTGTTATTTTATATGCATGGGTGTTTTGCTTGCATGTATGGCGACATACCACATGTGTGTCCACTGAGGCCAGAAGAGGGCATCAGATCCCAGGGACTGGAACTGTGTTGCCATGTGTGTACTTGGAATTAAACTCTGCTCTTCTGGACAGGCAGAGAGTGAGCTTAACTGTGGAACCAACTCTCCAGTCCCTTAATTTTCACACACACACACACACACACACACACACACACACACACACACACACACAAATGTGAGTGCAGGTGCCCTTGGAGTCCAAAAGAAAGAATGAAGTTCATCGAGCTGGACGTACAGGAGGTTGTGACCTGCCAGACATGGGTACTGGGAATTGAACTCGAGTCCTTTGCAAGAACAGCACATGAACTTTACTGCTGAGCCATCTCTCCACCCTACCCCACACCACATTGTCTTTAAGTCGATTAAGCTATATATTTCCTCAAAGTTACAAAAGGTTAACATATTTGCTTTATGAGAATATTCGTCTGCAGTTTTAGAAAAAACCCAGAGAATACAATCTTTCTTTCACAGTTAATCATATTAAATTGACAACTGGCTTGGTCCATCTTGTAACCAGACCATAGGTGGCCACAGTAATCAGATGGGTAATCTGACAGAATCTCTATTCGGAGTTCTATTATTAATGGCACTAGTAGACATTTGATTTGACTTATTTTCATTAATATGGAAGTGGAAGTTCGACGGATAAAGATGAGTCTACATTATTACTGAAGTTTGATTCTTGCCCGACTGAGATATTATTTTTTTTTATCCTTATTTGACTTAAGTTGACATTAATTTGAAGAGAGGGTTTCGTAGAGCACAGCACACGTGTGGCGAGCTCTGGTCAGCTTACTGGAGTTGGTTCTCTCTTCGTGCCATACGGGCTGTAGGGATTGAAGTCACGTTGTCAGGTTCAGTGGCATGGCCCCTCCCCTGCTGAGCTGTCCCCAGCTCAGACAGCTCATATTACAACTTAATATGATGGGATTTATTTCCTGATGCCTAGTTTGAGGCAGGCAGAATACCACATTAGTTCAATTTGTCCCATTATACTAGTACTATGTGTCTATTAGCTTCGGAGGGAACATATTGAACCTGTCTTTAATTTGCCGTTTCACAAGGGGACAGGAGATGGTGTCACACATGCTTCCCATCCCTGTACTTTTCTTCCACTTGACAGGGTTTTGTTCTCTTTGACAGACATTTGACAGTAAAAAAAAAAAAAGTGGTGTAATTATTAATTTCCCACTTGACATTGTGAACATTTCAATGCTAAGTTAGCAGGTAAAAAAAAAAAAGTCAGAATCCATTCCCATTGTATCTATCCACTGCACTTCAAAGGCTTCCCAGCAAACCTTTAGTCAGAGAGGAACCAATGGTAACGCACAGACAGCAAGTAATATCAACTTTGATAACAGACCTTGACCTTCTATCATAGACTCAGTCTTGCCAGGCACTTGTTTTCACGGGGAAAATGTAAAGAATTTAGCATTCATCACCCTACGGTTGCTGGTGTTGACTGGAGAGAAGTTAGTTTAGCAAAAGATGCACATTGTTTCCTTCCATCCAGAGTAAATGCCGCTCCCCAGGGGCTGACTATAACTGCCAAGTTCTAGCAGATCCAGGAAAATCCCAATCTGCAAAGGCACTGCTGATGGATGGGCCTCTGCCAGTTACATCTCAGTTGTGTTAGCTTGAGCACCGTGGCTGTGGCGAAGAGCAGGGTGGACTAAGGGAGAGAGGGAGTCTCTTTTCCTCATGCTGATGCTCATAGCTCAGACCAGGAGAAACATCATCCTTGCTGTAGAAAGATTTCTGTAGTAATATGTAAGTAGATGGGGGAAATACTTTTTAAATGTTTTCTTTAAATAACTAAAGCCAAGCAACTATTCCTTCAAAATGGGGCACCCTCTTCTTGTCCAGTGCTTTACAGTCCTGTGTGGCTGGTAGTTGTCACGTTGTCTAGCATGGCTACAGAGAACCCAGAGCTCAGCTATTTACAGCACACAAGTGCCAAGCTTACCAACAAGTCCACATCTTATGAACATGTGAAATTAGACTGTAACGTGGTCACAGTTTATGTCATACTTCCCTTCCATTGACAGTTTTAACTTTTCTTTTGCTATTACTTATGATCCAGATGGAAAGAGAGTGGTTTGTCTGACTCAGGTTGTTTGGAGGGAGGGATCCTGGTACAATTGTTTGTGGCTGTCATTTCTTTATCCGGAAGATAAAGACACTAGACTCTAAGACAGAACCATGCTAAAACAATTCAGCACAGCTTTACAGAGATAAGTCATCAAGTGTGCGAGTTTTGATCTGTCAGCGAGGGATCACAAAGCAACCACAGTGTCACTGAAGTGGCTGGAGGCTTCCACAGGTTGAGTGAAGACAAACCTGGGCAGAAAGAGGGAAGGGTGTCTGGATCGGAGACACTCAACAGAAGAAATCATCCTTGGGTTTCCCTAGGGACCAATCCAGTGACAATCAAGTTCAGTTTTTAGATGTGATGAAATTGTAACCATGGTTCTTGAAATGTTAAGGAAAGAAGTCTTACTCGGGGAAATAATACGAGTATGATAATAGATGCGAGCTTAAGGTATGTAAGGGGGAAAATGCAAAGCTTCATGTTAAACTCTTGTCCATCTCATTTGAAAAGGAGGGAGATTAATAAAGTAGTACAGATTTATTGAGTACATACTCTTGGGGATACCAATGTGCACAGGAATATGACAGTGATATTAAATGCACTTAGTAACTGTCTGGGAGGCTAAAATAGTACACACCATGTCAGATACTGTAAAGAGAAAGGAAAGAGCTCAGAAACAATTCTAGCTGAATGGGTGTCATTCAGGACTTCCTGCTGTGGTCAGTATAAACAGAGAGCCTGGAGGTGTAGGGGTAGGGGGATGTGGCCTGAAGCCTGAGTTGGACCAGAGAGACAACATATGATTAGAAAATTGTGGGGGTGGGGGGGGGAAGAAGAGGAGAGTAGATCAGACACTTAAGTGTGTTTATAATTATTTTTGTGTGGCAAATACACACAGCATGAAATGTACTACCTTAACCAGTTCTATGTGTATCAGATTTGCCTGCATGTATGTATGTCTATGCACCATGTGCGTTTGGTGTCTGTGGTGGTCAAAAGCAGGTATAGACAGGGGTATGGGTGAGCCAGCCCTGAGAGCGTGAGAGGGGCATAGCTGGTACCACCTCTCTTGGCTATGGTGTGGTGGTGGAGATGAGGGAAAGATGCCCTCCCTCTTGCCCCTACCCCCTCCAGTTGTCAAGGGAGCTGACCCCTTTACCAGCTGCAACACTCAGGAAAGTGGGTCCTGTGTGGTGTCTGGGCAGCACAGAGTAGCTGAACCTATTTGTTGATAAGGGCACAGGCAAGCTGGCCTGGGAATGAGAGCATGAGGGATGTGGTTCTGCCCCTCAACTACCATATAGCAGCATGGGTGGGGGAGAGATGCCCTCCCTCCCATAGATGCCCGAGGCAGGTGGGAGAGCTGGCCCCGAGGTCGTAAGAGCGGGAGAGCTACCCCTGCCCCCACTAGCTGCAGCGCTTGGGAGAGCAGGCCCTGCACCTTGTCTGGGCAGCACAGTAGAGTCAACTCCATTGTCAAAGGTGTGGATGAGCCAGTCCTGAAGGTGTGAGCATGGGAGAGCTGTCCCTATTACTCACCTGTCATGTGGCAGCATGGATGGGGGAGAGATGCCCTATCCCCACCTGCCCCATTAACATCTGAGGTAGAAGGCAGAGCTGGCCCTGAGGTCATAAGAGCAGGAGTGATGTCACTTCCCCTCATCAGCTGCAGCACTCCGGAGAGTGGCCCCTATGCCAGACCTGTGCAGCACAGTAGTCACTGAAGGTGTAAGCGTGGGAGATCCAACCCCAAGGACGTGAAAGCAGGAGAACTACCACAGCCCATTGCTCATTAATGAAAGGGGTGAACCATTGCCAGGGCACTGCAGGAAAGCTCACCCTGGTGGTGAGGACAAGAAAGAGTTGGTGGTCTGACCAACCCTGCAACTACCCAGGCTCAGAACCAGGGTTATGTGCTGGCCCAAACCAACATCCAACCCACCTGTGATCTGCTGGAGCATGTAAAGGGACCTGTCCTGCAGAGCCAAAGCTGCAGGATCTCCACAACACATGGCAACAGCTAACGAGGACTATGGGGGTCCAGCCCCTCGATAGTCCCCTCCCAGGGTCCGCGGAAGGCTCTATCAACCAG